GGATTTGTCTGTCTGCTTTCTCTTGTGTCTTTTAACTTGTTGTTTTATCTGCCTTATTTCCTATAAATGGAAGTTAGCTTCAGAATAGTGGTTCTCAAACTTGAGCTGCCCCTGGAAGGTAAGTTACCTACCCCTGGAAGGTAAGTTAAAACAGGGGTCCCCAACACCCGGGCCAGATACCAGTACCAGTCCACAGCCTGTTAGGAACTGGCCACACAGCAGGAGGTGAGCAGCGGGCAAGCAAGTGAAGCTTCATCTGCCGCTCCCCATTGCTCCCCATCATTCGAATTACTGCCTGAACCATCCCCTCCCCGACCCCAGTGTCCGTGGAAAAATTGTCTTCCACGAAACCGGTCCCTGGTGCCAAAAAGGTTGGGGACTGCTGTGTTAAAACACAGATTTTGGGTCCAGCCCCAAAGTGTCTGATTCAGGTGATCTGGGATGGAGGTCAATAATTTGCATCTCTAATAAGTTCCCAAGAGATGCAGTTACTTCTGATCTAACAGGCACACTTTGAGAACCACTGTTTCTAGACTTAGGTTTGATTCAATTCAAATGCTTTTTTCTTTTTTCATGCGCTTGCTTCTTAACTTATGCTGTATGCTTCGTTTTGCATCATTTTGCATCACATCAGATGGCACACAGTGTCTGGTAATCACACTTTTAATGATGTTAAGAATGCCCAGTAGATTCAGTAATGAATAACTGATATTTTAAAAAATAACTTGCTGAATTCAGTGAAGTTGCAGGATACAAAATCAATGTATAGAAATCTGTTGCATTTCTATGCATTAATAATGAACTATCAGAAAGAGAAATTAAGAAAACAGTCCCATTTACAATTGCATCGAAAAGAATAAAATAATTATGAATAGATTTAACCAAAGAGGTGAAATTCTCTGACCACAGAGTAAGCAAACTTTCTTTAAAAGTAAAGTTAAGCTTCCTATCTGTGAGAATTTTTCTAGGTCTGGAGCTGGCAGTTCTGTTCAGGTGTGAAATGTGGGAAAAGGAAAATGCCAATATATTTCCAAGAAGGTCTTTGCTAAGGACGGTTGCATGTTATCTCAAGAGGAATGAGTGGAATATATAACTAAGACAAAAATCTAATCTTGTCCCCATAAACCAACACCTGTGTTTTGAGGATAGGCAGGTATATATTTTCCATAGGGCATAAGTTGTGATTCTTTATCTTTGTATTGTTTAAGATCTAATTTGGATATTTTGGATTTACACATGGAATATGAAAATAATTGTTCCTGAAGGGGAGGCTTGTTTAGGGTATGATCATCCAAAGTTTTATTGAGGTGGCACAGGGTTATGAGGCAATGACTGCCATATGTTATGTGGATTATTAGGAGGCCTCTAGTAATTATTATTGTCTGAGTCTATATTATCACCCCAATACCCATATTCCCCCATTTGTTAAAAAGGACTATTTTTTTTTTTAACTTCCATCATTCTTTGGCAAAGACTAGTCTTTTGTTTTACTAATTTATTTATTTATTTTTGCTGTGTTGGGTCTTAGTTTCTGTGCGAGGGCTTTCTCTAGTTGTGGCAAGCGGGGGTCACTCTTCATCGCGGTGCACGGGCCTTTCACTGTCGCGGCCTCTCTTGTTGCGGAGCACAGGCTCCAGACGCGCAGGCTCAGTAGTTGTGGCTCACGGGCCTAGTTGCTCCACGGCATGTGGGATCCTCCCAGACCAGGGCTCGAACCTGTGTCCCCTGCCTTAGCAGGCAGATTCTCAACCACTGCTCCACCAGGGAAGCCCTAAAAAGGACTATTTTTAAAACAGTTATAGATTCACAGCAAAATTGAGAGGAAGGTACAGGGATTTCCCATATTCCCACTTCCCTTTACACATGCCTAGTTTCTCTGTTATCAGCGTCACTGACCAGAGTGGTACACATGTTACAATTGATGAACCTAAACTGATGAATTATAATTACCCAAAGTCCATAGTTTATATTAAGTTTCACTCATGGTATTGTACATTTACGGATTTGTACAAATGTTTAATGACATGTATGCACCACTATAGTATCATACATAGTATTTTCATCGCCCTAAAAATCTTCTGTGCTCCATCTATTCATGTCTCCCCACCCCCTAAACCCTGGCAACCACTGATCTTTTTACTGCGCCTAGTTTTGCCTTTTCTAGAATGTCATATAGTTGAAAACATACAATATATAGTCTTTTCCATTGGCTTCTTTCACTTAGTAACTTGTATTTAAGGTTCTTCTGTGTCTTTTCATGGCTTGATAGCTCGTTTCTTTTAGTATTAAATATTATTCCATTATCTGGTCAACCACAGTTTATTTACCCATTCACCTACTGAAGCACGTCTTGGTTCCAGGTTTTGGCAATTATGAATAAAGCTGCTAGAAACATTAATGTGCAGGTTTTGTGTAGAGATAAAATTTTAATTCCTTGGGTAAATACCAAGGAGCACAATTGCTGGATCATACGATGAATATGTTTAGTTTCGGAAGAAAAAGCAAGACTATCTTCCAAAGTGGCAGTACTGTTTTGCATCCTACCAGCAATGCATGAGGGTTTCTGTTGCTTCACATCCTCTCCAGCATTTAGTGTTGTCAGTGTTCCAGATTTTGACCATTTTAATAAGTGTGTAGTGATACTGTTGCTTTAATTTGCATTTCCCCAATGATATACAATGTGGAGCATCTTTTCATATGCCTGTTTGCCATCTGTATATCTCCTTAGGTGAGGTGTCTCTTAAGGTCTCTGGCCCATATTTTAATCAGGTTGTTTTCTTATTGTTGAGCTTCAGTGTTCTTTGTAGGTTTGGGATAACTGTCCTTTTACAGATGTGTCTTTTGCAAAGATTTTCTTTCAGTCTGTGGCTTATCTTCACTCCCCAATATTTTAAGACCAAAGCCTTTGTAGTAAAAGGAAAGCTACAGTCTGAAGTGCCAACTCTGTAAAGAACCTTTCTTAGATGCTGTGAAGGAAAAGGTGGAAGACTATATGTTGATTCCTATCTCAGTCTAGCTTGAAGGAAAATGCATATTAACATGAAAAGAAAAGTAGAGAGCAGTTGTGGTGTTTAATTCTGTGTCCAGTGCCATTGGCTATTAAGAGTTCACAGTGGAGGGAAAGATTGAAGTTGACTGAGGTAGAAGTGGGAATCTTTGTGGAAATTGAACTTAATCTGATTGACCTTGAAAGCTAGTTAGTTCTTCAACAGTGAGATAGGTGAGAAATGACACTCCATCTGAGAAACATAATTCAGTGTTACAAAACTTTCAGTTTATATCATAGAAGAAAAAAACTTTGATTATGCTCTAGATTTAGATCCTGAATATTCTCAGATCTGTGATGGGTTTTCTTTACCTTGAGTGACTAGGACCATAAATCCTTTGTGGTTCCATAGTGGTACTGTTAGTAGCAGATGGCTGGCTCCTGTATCTCACATCATATCTAAAAAGAATAGATTAGCCCAGCATATTTGCATCCAGATAAGTGTGTTATAACACTTTAAAATATTGCACATGCCATTTAAAAAGCATATATAGTATATTTTTCAAACTTATGGAATATTTGCCTTATATTTGATTAGGTAATTCCACCTTGTTAATGATCTGAACCATAAAAATATGCCTTTTTTTTTACTTTTAATGTCAGTGACCTATTCTAGTTTTGTTATCCCTCCTCTGACTATGTAGTAATAATATATTAGTGCAATCCTCAAAGCATGCAACACATATGTTATCATTGTATGGAGGCATTTTTGAACGCTGATGATTTAAAATTTCCCATTTTAAATGCTTTCAAAAGCATTAGACTATGTTGATAGATTTGAAGATAGCTGCTCTTGTTTACAGAATTGTTTTCTATTTAGCTGGGGCCACCTGGGTATCTAAGTCATCATATGTGAAATTTGGGTTATTAATTTGACCCTGTAATGATTGATTTCTGTACTAGTCCAGGCTCCATTGCAAATGACTTTATATTTAAGCAAAAATATAAAGTGGGGAGATGGAGAGGATATAGTATCACACAGCTGAAAGGTCCATGCATTAATTTAATTTCAGGCACAGTTGAATCTAGATGCTCAAATGATGTTATCAGGTCTATTTCTATTCCGCTTAGCTCTGCTGGATTCAACTTGATTTTAGTTACAGGCACACTTTCTTCACTTGGAGGTGAAGTCAAGGCACTCATGCCTAGGGGAGAGGAGGTTGTTGCCCATAGGATTGGCACTTTGACCCGGCAAAGCAGGGGCTGATTCTGAAAGGAACAGGTGCTGGGCTAACAAACAAGTAAAAGCTACCACAGCAGGACCAATGGTTGGTCTTGGCCACAATTACCAACGTTTGTGAAAATTGTCTTGGTTGGCATTTATCTTCTCTTGTACATTACAAAGCACTAAGCTTAACAAATGGCTAGGAGGAAACCTAGTTGCTTTTTTCTAAACCAAAATCAGATGCCATCTTTCGACTCATAGACAAATTATAAACTGATTTTAAAGCATGTTTTCCTAGCAGTCCTAGTATCAGTATTTTCTATAGTCCTTGTTGGGCAAATCAATTAAGTATACCTACCCCTCAGTTTCCTTATCTGTTTCAAGAATACTAATGCAGTTAGACTGACTAAGCTCTGAGGTCATTTCTAGTTCAAAGAATATGTGATTCAGTGATTCTTTTATAAAACTGAGTACAGGTTGGGTTTTTTTTGGAATATGTATATTGAATGGAAACAGTAATTGCTCTCAAAAAGCTACATTCAATAAATCTTTCTGCAGTTATAGAAATGTACTCTGTGGCTATTAAGCACTTGAAATGTGACTGAGAAAATGAATTTTTAATTTGATTTCATTTAAGCTAATTTTGATTTAAATTAAAATAGCCACAGCTCTAGAATTATCAACTTATTTAAACCAGATTTTTGAGAAATGATTGACATTAAAAATAAAACAAAATTTATAAGCTTGTGCAAGGAATTTCAAAGCAGCAATTTCCCATTTTCTTTTCAGTCCCCTGCACATAGCTATTCAAGCTACGACTCGGGCAAAAATGAGAGTGTAGACCGAGGTGCTGAGGACCTGTCCCTAAACAGGGGAGATGAGGATGAAGATGACCACGATGACCACGAAGATTCTGAGAAAGTTAACGAGACAGATGGCGTTGAGGCCGAGCGTCTGAAAGCTTTTAATGTGAGTCCTGCCACCCTACCATTATGGCTGAGGTTTTTACCACTTCACTTTCATGTTGTTGCTTGTTGGTAACTGTGGCTACTTTAGAGACATGTTTGTTTAATTTACAGAAGGATTTAAAAAGTACATGAAACACTCTTAGCCAACCAGACACCAGAATGGCTGTGTTTTGTTTAGAATTTTAAAGCCAAACGTGAGCTGAAAACTGCACTTGTGCTGTGTGAGTATGCATGTTTACCTAGCGGATGAAGGGAGCCTCAGCTTATCCCTCGGAAGCGTCTGCCCGTCATCCGTTATTTTCTTTGCTTTCCCAGCTTATCTAATTATGCATGAAAAAAGAGTCAATTGTTTGTTTTCGGAGATTAGTATACTGTGCAGTGTAGCAATGTAAACAGTCACATTATTAATAGAGAATTTTATGGGGTGCTCAATCGTCACAGTCTACTGTTATTTCTTGATTTTTTTCTACGCAATAGTCTCTACTTTTCTGTCTGTCTGTCTGTCTGCCTTTCTCTCTCTCTTTCTCTCTCTGTTTTTTAACCCAACCATTTAGAAAGTCTGTAAAAGGTGTTTGCTTAAAATTTCTGGCTTTCCATTGCAAAGTTCTCCAGTGCATAAACCAGACAAGACTATTTTCCTATCAGTAATCAAGACAGGAAGCTAGGAACAGCAGAGAGCAGCCCTCCAAACCCTTCTCCTCTGTCTCCCTCTTGCCAACAGATGTTTGTCAGGCTGTTTGTAGATGAAAACTTGGACCGAATGGTCCCAATCTCTAAGCAGCCCAAAGAAAAGATCCAGGCTATCATTGACTCATGCAGGCGACAATTCCCTGAGTATCAAGAGCGTGCCCGAAAACGCATACGTACTTACCTCAAGTCCTGCAGGCGGATGAAAAGAAGTGGTTTTGAGATGGTGAGTTTTGAATTAAAACACAGCCCTAGATTCCATCCAAATCCCACATGTAACCATGACACAATTTTTTTTTTCATCTTAGTGTCTTTTTAATTTTTTCCATAACGTCAGGTCCAAGGGGTTTTTGTTTGCTTGTTTGTTTTTTCTCCTTTTCATCTTCCTGAAGTATTTATCCCCTTTGTTGATTCAATAAGACACACCTTGTGAGACCAGTGCTCACAAGCCTAGGTACCATGTCCTAGGAAATGAGGGTCATGTGAGTGAACAGCAGTGAGAGCCAGCATCTCATTCTTGTGTGTTTCCTTTCTGTTACTGCTAAAGCAGATCTAAGGTTATTCAAGTCTTGAACTGAAGCACCCGTGGTTACTTTAGACAGCCTGTGAGAATGGCTTTCTCTGGGACAAAAGGAAATGGATGGCTCCATCTAAGTAATACTATTTTCATACCAACAGTTAACAAATAGCAGGCCTTGAAAAGAAAGGTCAGGGAATGAAAATCCTTATGTGAAAAATAAGGCTTTTGTGTGCTCGGTATATTTGTGTACTTGTCTTGTGGATGGTTAACATGAGCGTTTAGATTCAGCTGGGCTTTTTGTAGATGGATGATATCATGCCAGTGTTAGATATTTATGGGTGGAAATTAGACAGTGTTATTTGACCTTTATTCTATCTTACCTTGATGGAATTGTTATACTAGAAGTAGTTTTTACAATGTATTTTAAAACTTTCTTTATATTTTTATGTATTTGAGTGGACATGTATTAGAAATTTTCTGAAACTATTTTCATTGTACTTTTGAGAAGCCTCCATAAAAACCAGGACTCTTCGTGCTTGTGATCAGTGCTTCCAATTTATTAGGTGTGATGGAACAGGAGTTGGTGTAGATATAGGAGAGGTTTCAGAGTATGCCAATAGGAGAAATAGTTTTCCAGATATAAATGAAATGAATAACCAGTAATACCTCCTATATTATCTATTTTTCTACAATGGCTTCTAAAAATATCTTTGATATTTTTAAAAGAAAAACGACTGTCTCTTATAGAGAGGCAGTCTGCCAAGATGGTCACTAACACAAGGCTCGGTCCCTGGAGAGCTTGGTCTGGAGTTCTGGGTCCACCAGTTTGTAGCTATGTGACCCGGGCAAGGTGCTTCAACTTTCTGAGCTCAGGTCCCTCCTCTGGAAATGAGAATAATTCCTAATTTATAGTGCTGACAGGATTATATAAATTGTCATGTAAAGCTCGACAGGTCATTTTTGACACATAGTAACCACTCAATAAATCTGAACTCTGAAAATATAATCAACCAAATATTATTTAATCCATCGTCTGAAAAAAGCTACCCAAAATATTTGTATTATAAAATCACAGAACACTACATTTAAGAATTTGCTTACTTCTTAGAATAACTATATTGAAGTTGGAGTTTGTTGTACCTAAGTTACTTTAAAATAAAATAGCATAGCTGTGCCTGATGAAATTAAATTATGACAGTTGAGGTGGTATGGTATAAGAGAGGAGAGATTGCTTGAAGAAAATACAGCTACTTCCCCCATTATTGAATTCTTTAAAAGTTATTGTCACCCAATAGGAGAAAGATGACAGACAAAAAGGATATCTAACCAGGAATAAGAGCCCAGAATCCTGGCTTTGACATCGGTTCATCATCAAATTGGCAGTTGTTGTAAAATTCCAGTAGAAACTAAGTATGTCTCATTCAGTGCACAATGCACAATATATACTTTCTTCTTTCAGTAACAATAAAGATAATAATGTTATATACCATGATTTTATTTTACCAGCATCTGGCACTACTATTTCTTCTAAATCTTTTAATGTTATTTAGAGATTCTTTTCTTTGATAAAATTTATCTTATTTTCCATTTATTAATAATTCTTTAAAAGAAAAAAATCATTGTCATGTAGAATTCTTAATTTCTCAAAGATGTATTTGAGATAATCACAGGTTTTTTATTAGTTATATTTATTTACCAAATATGAACATCTATTTGATGTAAACTTTGTGCTATGCATAGAGAAAGACAAAAAGTTAATATAAAATCAAGTAGGTTTACAAACTAATCTTGAAGGAAATAATGCTGTAAAGAAATGCTATTGTATTTCATATTTAATAATTTTCATTTGTTCATTTTTTATTCACTTATTCAATATATGTATAATGTGCATAACATCATGCAAAGTAATGAGAAATACAAAAGATGCCTGACTTGTTAATTAAGAAAAGTTAACATGTTCCCTGATCATCATGATCCTTTGAGATTACAAGTTGTGGGAAGTGAAGTGCTTAAGTAATAATATAAGGCCTAATATAAATAAATGTTAAATGAACAACACAGATGAAAATTGATATTGTAGTTTAGCCCATTTTTAAAAAATACATTGCTCAGTAATGCACTGTTGGAATAAAAATTAAATTTGCCATCTAGTTAACACTTGGAATTTTGATTGGCTTTATGTATCACTTCATTGTCATGCAGCATGTCATCATTTTGAACACTCATCCTTACCTGGAACAAATAGGAAAAGGCATGACTAGGGCAGATAGTAATTACAACTAAATATTGTACATTAATATTTTTTTGCCTTTATAATTTAAAATCTTAAGATAATATCCATGGTTTTAAAAAATTGAAACATTAAAAAATATTTTCTTATATTGTTTTTGCTGTAGGTAGACATGAAGAAAATGTATCATTTTTAATATATGATTATCTTTACATGCCAATTATTTTGTAGTACTTAGGAAGTCAACAAAGCAACCTAGAGAAGTTTTTAATATATTTGTAAAGTAGAATTGTAGGAGTATTTGATAGGGGACTCCGTATTATAAAATGAAAGTGGCATTCAGCAAGCTTAGCTCATCCAGTTACTTAGGATCTCTAATCCAGCAGACTCTTTAAGTAAAGCAAAACACAAAATATTGAATTATCTGTTCCCTACTGACTTTGATTAAGAAATTCAAAGAGATATTCCCATAGAAGTGGTTTATCACAACTTATATTAGTATTATACTTGACAGTGTTGACATTCACTGTAATTTTCTGCTGCTAATACAAAGTCTATTCATGTTTAATTAGTCTACACTATCCCTTAAGAATTTACAACACAAGTACTTTTCATTGACTTCACTGAATGCATACAAATATTAGAGTATATATTTATGCATTCTTATTTCACTGAAATTATTAAGACCCCAAAGGTCTTAATTGCTGAAGTAGCCGAAATGTTTATGTCATTGCTCCAAACAGTCTCTATAATGTATGAAGTTAAATAACCATATTATGATACTTTTCTACACACTTTCACTAATTCAGTGTTCCCAATCATCTCAAATCATAAATTCTTCAGTGTTGAACATAAAAGGATATGTTTTATGAAAAATAAATCCAATAAGTTTGATACAGAGTACTGTCTTAGTTTTCATTAGATTTTAAGAACCAATGAGTTAAGCAGCCCTTATATTAATCCTTAGACAAATATATCAAATCATTATTGATTCTATTATGCAGCTTTGACTCTCAAATTACTTCAGCTAATTTTCTGAAGAATATTTGTTGATTGTTTCAGAAAAGAAGTGTATTTCTCCAAGGTGTCCTGATCTTAAATTCAAGAACACCTATAATAGATAAAGCCATAAAAAGAAAGCTTTATAAACAAGGTGAGGTTACCCCATACCTAAGTATTATTTGTGTTATGTGATATGATTCTCTTTTTATTTTCTGAGTTTGCATTGTTTAGAGATTCTTTCACCATGCTGCATATATTTAGATGTATTTTTATAGAACTCAAATGAAAATATTTGGGGGAGATAGTCTAAGAGACTTTCTGTCCATCCTTCCTCCTGTATCTCATTTCTTGACACTATATCAAATTAGATCAAGTGGCCTAGATATTTGAATTCAATAAACTCAGCCACTTGAAAACTTACCTATTAATTTGCTTTTTAATATTATTTATTTGACTATATTTGTTTGAAGAATTAAATCTCATGCTTTTTTTTTTTTTTTTTTTTTTTTTTTTTTGTTTTTTGGTCTTTTTCTTTTTTTGCCTCTCCCGTGGCGGAACACAGGCTCCGGACGCGCAGGCTCAGCGGCCATGGTTCACGGGCCCAGCCGCGCGGCATGTGGGATCTTCCCGGACCGGGGCACGAACCCGGGTCCCCTGCATTGGCAGGCGAACTCTCAACCACTGCGCCACCAGGGAAGCCCCCTCATGCTATTTTTTGTAAAATTTGCCAGGGACATTGTCCACTAGGCTTCTTAATGTCCACTATAAATGATCTCATTTCGGAACCCTCTTTTAGCATGTAATGAAAAAAATGTGTTTCTTCTTCAGAAATAGAGTGCTTTTATGTTTTCTCATCATTAACTTACTACGTTCACTTTTGTGGCTGTCAGGAAGTTCAGAGCCAAAAAACTTTCTAAGGTCCCAATTATCTGGTTTTTTAATTTGTTTTAGCTTACATATTTCCTTGGTAGCTCTGATATCTATTTCGGGGGAAATGAGATATAAATTTAAAAACAAATGTGTAAATAATCTAATTACGGAAACACCATACTTTCACACCACCTTGTAAGTTCCCGTTGCGGAGCACAGGCTCCAGACGCGCAGGCTCAGCGGCCATGGCTCACGGGCCCAGCCGCTCCGCGGCATGTGGGATCTTCCCGGACCGGGGCACGAACCCGTGTCTCCTGCATCAGCAGGCGGTGTCTCAACCACTGCGCCACCAGGGAAGCCCCTAAGATCTTTATTCATAGTATTTCTTTTTAATTACATCCTATAATACCCTCCTCAGTAATTTTGATATCTGACCTTATTTCACAGTTCTTTCATTAGAAAATAAATGGTTAATGTTTAGGAAATGGTACATTTTTTAGGGAATTTGACTACTTATCATCCTTTGCCTCTACTTGTCTGATGCAGACTAAAGTAGAGAGATCAGAATTCGTCTTCAATTCAGAGCTTTCATAGATATCATAGG